AAAATTTAGATTCCAAAAACAGAAATATGCTATTAAACGATGGTTTACTATTATGGCTGAGTAAGAAAAAAGTAAAACTTTGCTGTATGAATATACAAAAATTCATTAATAACAACTAAGATTAATAAAATAGAATCATTCCAAAACTTTGTATTTATAAATCAATGCAAACCTGTTTCAATGCTTAGAGCATATAATATATCTTCATCATTAGATATCTTTAAGTTATCATGTTTCTGGATTAATTACAAATCGAAATCATTATTCTTACCTATAAATCTTATATGCAATAAAATTGTCTTTATAATAAAATATAGAATTTTGAATTGGTAATGTTATTTGATATATCCAACAATACTTACACCATACACTCTATGAATATAGCTTGAAGAAAATCCCCACCATCAAGATGTTTCGATAGACCTTTTGTTGTTCTATCAAATGGGATACTCTAGTATGTCCAAAGCTCTGTGTTAATAGATTTTTTAGGCCTTGCATACTCGGCCACAAAAAAGGGTCTCAATCTATCATCAAAATTTCCATAGCAAAAATTAATACAAAACTAAATGAGTTCCATAGCATAAAGTACTTCGTAATTGATCTAAAGCTCATCAGTAAGACGTGGTATAACTTTTCTTTAAGAGTAAAAAAGTCTTAGAAATGATTATTACACAAACTCTGAAACTTTGAAACGATTTGGCGAAGATCAGTGTAAGCCTGTCGCAAGTACGATAGAATCACTAATTATATATTCTACTCCTCTATGCACTTCAATCCATAGAATATATTCCATAAAAATACCAACTTTACGGAAGAGAACAGAACAGAACATTTTCAACCAAAAGAAATATTTAATCTCATCACATATAATGTTACTTCAGGAGCATACTTTTTCTTAAATACTATATTCATTTATTATCTAAATCATGCCGATATGTCGACGAGGTTATACTAAATATATATTATTAACTTTAACAATATGGCTTGGTGCTATTGTTTTATTTACTTTTCGTACTGATTCGTTATCTCAATCAAATAATGATATGCAAATAAATGTAGTCGATAGAACTGCACCACCATCGTTAGTTGATCGTATTATTGGTGTTTTACCATTTAAAACAAAGGTTGATAATGATCATCCACCGGAAGAACGTCTTCGAGCAGTTGAACAAGCACGTAACATGAGTGGTCAAGTACAAGTTGTTGCACCTGATATGAATAATGGTCATAATGATCCTAAAACTGGTGGACCTGGTGAAATGGGTAATGCAGTTCGGATTGATAAAGATAAACTATCAAAAGAAGAAAGAAAAAAATATGATGATGGATGGCAAAATAATGCATTTAATCAATATGTTAGTGATATGATTTCATTGAGAAGAAACTTAGCAGATATACGTGATCCAGAGTAATCAAAATTTCATTTCATTTTCCAAAAATAAAAAAAGAATTTTTGATTTAGATGTAAAAAAGTTGATTTTCATCCAAATTTACCAGATACATCTGTTATTATTATATTTCATAATGAAGCACGTTCAGCATTATTACGTACAGTTTGGTCTGTTATTGATCGTTCACCACCTCATCTACTAAAAGAAGTGATACTTGTTGATGATTTTTCTGATAAAGGTGCGTTATCGGTAAGTCAAAGAGATATTTGAACTCGAATAATCTAATTTGATCTCTTCTTTTTAATTAGTACATTTGAAACAAGCACTTGATGATGATATTAAATCAATAAAAAATGTTCGATTAGTTCGTACAGATAAACGTGAAGGTCTTATACGTGCTCGTCTGAAAGGTGCTGTTGTTGCAAAAGGAAAAGTTTTGATATTTTTGGATTCACATTGTGAATGTGCCGAAGGTAAGAAAAGCATTTAGAAAAATCAAAGTTTCTTTGACATACTTGTTTATGATGTACTTATAAAAAACAAAAACTAATATCGAATTTTGATGTTTTTTTTATTCTGTTATAGTTAGTTATTAGCAAACTGTTAAGACTTATTTTTGGAATTATTCCATAATAATATCTATAGTTTCATCTTATATAGGTACGTTGATATTGAGAACGTAGAGCATGAGAAACAAACAGAAGAATGACACTAACAAAAACGTTAAATTTCTCGCTTAATTTCGACTTATTATCTAATCGATATTGTTTAGGCTATATTTATTTATTTATTTTTATATATAGGATGGCTTGAACCACTCTTAGATCCAATTGCACGAAATCCAAAAGTAGCTGTTGTTCCATTAATTGAAATTATTGATGACTCGACATTCCAATTAATTGGTACACCAATACAAAATATACAAGTAGGTGGGTTTGATTGGAATCTTATTTTTAATTGGCATGTTACACCTGAACGAGAAATGAAAAGAAGACAAAAAAAGACCGATCCAATCAGGTATATACAAAACAAAAAATGTACATAGATAATATAAAGTTCTAATGTCTACAGGAGTCCAACAATGGCTGGTGGTTTATTTGCTATTGATCGAGATTGGTTTAATCAACTTGGTATGTATGATCCAGGCATGGATATTTGGGGTGGTGAAAATCTTGAACTTTCTTTCAAGGTAAATAAAGAAGGGGAAAGATTAAATATATGTTTTATGTTTGATATAGGTTTGGCAATGTGGTGGTGAACTTTTATGTGCACCATGTTCACATGTCGGTCATATTTTTCGAAAACGTTCACCATATCAATGGCCTAGTAATGTTAATGTTGTTAAAAAAAATTCAGTTCGTCTTGCTGAAGTTTGGCTTGATGATTATAAAGTAAAAATAATTCAATAAAATAAACACAAAATTTATACTGTGCTTTTTTTATTATTGTAGAAAAATTATTATGAAAGAATTTTGTATAATCTTGTAAGTATTTGTTTATGTATCTTATCTAATAAGCATATTTAATAGAAAAGAATGTATGAAGAATTAAATATTGTAGATAATATTATTGATATTAGAAATTTTGTGGTTTTATGCCTACGATTATTTATGTATCTTACAAGAATTTCAATCTTTTCTTTTGTTTGTCTTTTTCAGGGTGATTATGGTGATGTATCTGATCGAATCAAAATTCGTGA